ATTAAGGATAGTCGCTCATAACAAGTGGCACACATGGGTTAGGGTGTGGTTTTAGGCCTGGGCGCAGGCTCATGCCCGTCACGTCACGCAGCTGTAGCCGATTCCGCCCCCGGTCTGCTCAAATGTCTCTTGACACCGGGCGTAGGTGGGTGAAAGAAGAAAGACTGTGGTAGATGCAACGCTTCTGCTATAAATTAAAGCTGATCCGCGCGTCAGTCACCGTCCCACGCTCTGGAGCACAAGGCGAACGTAGTCGGAATCGACAATCGAGCTGTCATTTTGGGGTCACAGAGGCTCGGTATATGTGAGCTGGACTCCGAACTGCCGTCACTATCCTCTTGTTGTACTAAACCCCTGTCAAGCGTGGGTGGTGTTTGACATGGGAGCCCAGGCTGTGTCAGTTGGAATCCGCGTCGCCGCCGCGTCCATCCTTTTGTTGTCGTGTTAAAACCCTGGATGGGGCAGACATTATTGGGAATTTTTGCTCATAACAAGTGGCACACATGGGTTTGGGTGTGATTTTAGGTCTAGACACGGGCTCATGTCCGCCACGTCACGCAGCTGTAGCCGATTCCGCCCCCGGTCTGCTCAACTCTCTTTTGACACCGGGCATAGGTAGGCGAGAGAAGAAAAACTGCGGTAGATGCAACGCTATAAATCAAAGCTAATCCACGCGTAAGTCACCGTCCGTACATTATCAGGCTCAGGAGCACATGGTGAACGTAGTCGGGATCGACAGTCGAACTGCTGTGTGGTCACAGAAGCCTTGTAAGTGTGAATTGGGCTCCCAACTGCTCTCACTCTCCTCTTGTTGTGTTAAATCCCTGTCAGCTATAGGTGTGGCAGCCTGTGCTCCGTACTGCTGCGTTGCCTCATCCCCTCTTCGTTAGCCAAGTCTTTGGGTACTCGCCCTTGACAAACTCCCCCGCACATTATTTATCAATCGCTGAGATGTCCTGCCTTTCCCACGCTCCCGGTCAATTCGTCTCCTGAGGCGCACGTTACTTCGAACCAATCAATGCGCGCCGTGCCACGTAATTGACTAAGGACACACTCCAAACTCAGGGCTTTGCAGCAGCGTAAACTCTTTTTCATCGACTCGACTGGTTTTTGTACGTGGCGCTTGCGGCAGCTATTGTAAGGATACTTTAGCAGAGTAAAGCTGTTCCATTTTATTCCGTCTTCCCTGACTTGTTATTTGGGGATCTTTATGTTGTCGACGCAACAACTTGCGACAATTGGTGACCCCGAATTGCGACATTGGCAGTGACCAGGGTGTGTGACACGGGAGCCCAGGCTATGTCAATTGGAATTCGTGCCGCCGCCGCCGCGTCCATCGTTTTGCTTTTGTGTTAAAACTCTGATCAGGTGTGTGTGTTGTGGATCAAGGTTCATGGCAGGCGTTGAGTTTGCCGTGTCCACCACCTGCGCCCGAACCCTCCTCCGATATTCTTGATTCTGCCATGACACAGAGCATGGGCGGATGGGGGAAGAGAGAGTGTTTTAGATGCAGTGAAAGTCCACCATCACTCAAAACTAACTCACGTGCAGGTCGTTGCGTTTGCTTTCAGCCTGCTGCAGAAGGTGGTGGCCACAGTCGAAGGTGACGTTCGAACTATCGAGTGCAGTGACTGACTAGAGGACTGAGAGTTAGATTCAATGGCTCCTTCTTGCTGTGAACTCTATTACACACTTACACCTGTCAGCTGTAATCCGACGCACCCTTTGTTCTGTGGACACCTTGTGCATGGTTTTCATACAGTTTGTGTGTTGCACGCGTAGACGAGAAATTTAGCTTTATCACCCACTGCGCCCGATCTCGCTTCGGGTCATCCTAACTGCGTCCTTACAGGTATGTGAGGGAAGAGCGATTGCGGTAGATGCTGCGCAAGTCTACCATCAGGAAAAACTAATCCACGCACAAGCCACCGTCCCAGCGCCCACTCTGCCGTGGAGGCACATGGTGGACCTGATCGGAAACGACGGTCGAACTGTGGAACTGGCTAGAAGGGCAAATAGGTCTTGGAAATAGTTTTTTTTAGAAAGTAACTGCTCGAAAGACTGCTTTTTAAAACCAGTGAGAAGATCCAGAAAGGTTTGCTCGAAAGTCTACCGCCACGGGCTTTTTTCAAAGTGGCACCACGCCACTGATGTAGCTGCAAATGAGTTCATGCGCAGTCATTGCGAAAGTGGATTTGGGTATGTGTGTTACTGGCGGTGGGGAAGAGAGTGAGGTCGACCCTCCGCGCGTTTCTTTCCTCACTTTACTGAATCTGATGCGCTTGGGACTATCGCGGTGCGCTAAAAAGCCGTGGCTTTGAGGGTTGCCAGCTGGCGGGGTAACTTGGACACCGCAGTCGGTCCAGTGTGTCTTGTTGTGTTGTGTGGCTGTCTGCGGGCTGAGAGCCAGATTCATTGGTTCCTTCTTAATGTCGCCTTTATGGCGCTCCCTATCGGGAGTCTACCCAGCGAGACGTGCTGTTTGA